TCCTTAGTTCTGACGTTGGGTGTATATGTTGCTAGACAAGGTGGCGCAACAATACAGACCATGAGGTACAGACTGCAGTACTATTATGAAGAGGCATCACCCCCCCCCCCCAATTTTTTTTTACTTCGCAAAGAAACTTTCTTCGCTGTTGCGTGATCGAACATCGATGCTCGCGGTGTGCAGAGCCGCTATTAGCGCACAAAAGTTTTTTGTTTCATTTTGTTTCAGACATGCTAGCAATCTTTCCATAAAAACATATAAACGCACAGGCATCGTCGCACTGTTGCACAGGTAACGTCCCAGCGCAAACGCGTCAGTCTTCACTAATGTCAGAAGCGTATAGAGTAGTCTCTTATATTTACTGCAGAGAGGGCGCGTGACCATGCGAAGCTGCGAAGACACGCGCCTTCACACACGCTCTCTCTCTTCGTATAGGATAGGGTCCAGCGCCACGTCGAAAACTCACGCGCTGACGTGCTGCAAGGTATACGTGTGGTCAGGCCTTTAGAGTGAGCCTTTTTCTTTTTCTAAAAACACATTAACTAGTCAAACACAATACTCTCCTAAACTTTTTTTTTTCTTCTACCGAACCTGGGCGCTTTCTAGTATTATCACTGTACGCCACAACTATAGCCCAACAAAGCTTCGTATTTGTTTCTTTTCTTTTGCAGAAGGACCACTCAAAATGTTTTAATGACGCAGCGACTATCCCAGGACGACATTCAGTTAATTCTCCCAGATGCACGACTATCAGGATTTCATCCCGGGTGGGAGTCTCGGTATTCGTATCTCTGCACTCTTCTTGTCCAGCACGAATTGTTGCGCAACGCCTTCTCGCGTTTCCTTTTTACGACCGAGGTATGGGTGCGAAGGCGTTGTTTTTACGACTTTCGAAGCTGCCTCGGACGCGAGCAATTCGTGTAGGCGAACCGACGATGACCTTGTCTTGCGAGTGGCGACACAGCGTTCCGCACCGGCGACGTTACTGAACACGTGGTGCGGGCGTCAGGGCGATCCAAATGGCCTTATCGATAGCGAGGTCGCTGTCACGCTACCCTCTACTGAGCATATCACGTCCGTGGATTCGCCATGCGGCTATATTAAGCTGTTCTACGGGAAAGGGGAACTTGTCGAGTGACCTGGCCATGAATATGTAAAAAGTTTAAATTTATAGTTCTGTCGTAGCAGCTGGTTTTGCGGGTAACAGACGCGTAGCTAGGAATTTTTCTCGAGGAGAGAGATAGAGGGGACACAATCTTTATTTCGGGGAGGCCACCCCCTTAGAGTATTCATTTATTGCTCTCTATACCATGGCAAAAAAAAAAAATGGCGAGGGGGGCACGAGCCAGGTCTGGCACCCCTTGGCGGGGAAGACATATATGCGCAGTTAGTAAATGAATGTAATGCAAAGTTCAGAGGCACCATTTACGGCGAGGCCGGGGGTCACATTTTATACGCTCCCTCTCCTTAACTTTTTCATCAGCTTAAAACTTTGACAATCCCATTGCAGGCTGCACTTATTTTACTCTAGACACATTGCGCACCGCTGGAACGAGCTTCGGGGAAATAAAACTCAAGATTAGCTCACAATGTTAAAGTGATGTCGTGACCATCTTTACTCAAAACTAGCTCACAATGTTAAAGTTATATTGTGTACCCTCTCCACTGCCCCCCCCCCGTCCCACATACCAAATGTAAATGAGAAAGTTACGTCTGTGGCGTAAAATGTAGTAGATAGGTAAACAAAGATGTCGGTATCTCTCAAGGTAGACTAATAAATATGTAATGAGACGTAATTGCACTTGCGCCACATTTGGCATGAACCAAGACATTATTGCCTAATTGAACTTACAGGAATTATAGAGTTTATAAGAACCTTTCTTGTCGAATATTCTTCTCCCCCCTGAAAATAACACCTGGCTACAACCCCGAATGATACGACACGCGGTTATTGCAATATAACGAGTTTTTGTGCCGCTGGGATGCAGGTAATGCGTTGCGGACTGGAAACGCAACGCATGCGGACTGGAAACGCAACGTTGCGGAGGAAACGGTGCTCGCTGAGCGATCTGGCCACATTGTGTCCTGACTTATGGAGAGAATTTGTTGTGTGCGCGAAATTAGAGCAGGCGAGAATACGCGCAGGATAAGTGGCCGAAACACGCGATATACTTCGCGAATAAAGCTTCGGCCAAGGCTCGGTGCAGACCTAAGAAGGAAAGACAAATAAATATAAGAGCACCACGCCCAGCAATACGTACAAAGCGGAGTGTTACGCTGACGAGTAAAGACCAGATACGCACGGTATCTCAAGGTTTTATCTGAGGTCAAGAAGGGCTGTCTAACGATTACCTGAGGTGTGCAGTCTAATCCATACAATTTATAGTGTGAATCACCAACATTGTTATAGCTAGAATCATCTCAGGTGGAGTGCAGCACGTTTTGTGGTGTGCGCGCCGGCCTTGAGAGATAGAAATGTTTTCACTTCACCAATATCCCTCGATACTGTAATTTGTGTATACCTGCGCTTCGTATCAAATATCAATAAGCTTATCACGATAAAAACAGCAGATTTCCATACAAGTTACAGTGTTTTAATTTTTTTATGGATTGCCGTTATCGCTTGGCGGAGTGAGAATAATGGCGCTTAGTGATTTATTCAGTGCACATACTAAAAAGAGAAACTGGATGCTGCCACCCAGAAAACACGGACATTGTGCATGACAGCACCACAACGCAAAATGCGATGCAACTATACGTAAGGAGAAAGTACGCAGCGATGGACAGCAAACTCAAACTTACTCACATCTCGTAGCACGCACTCTTAAGTGCCAAGACAAGGACTAGCTTCGGAAAAAACTTAAATGGGGGTAGAAGTATGCACGGTATGTCAGTGTAATTAAGATTTGCGAGAAACTGAAGTGTTATGAGCAGCCGAGCCAAAGGAATACCATTTGTAGCTACGCCCCCCGCAGGTAGATTTCTCGTGAGTGGTCGATTTCGGCAGTTCTCCTTGTTGAAGGCGGACTGCTGTGTGCGCGTGTATACTTAGATCAAGGTTCGTGCTATAGAAGCCCAGGTGATCGAAATTTTCGGAGCCTTTTACTGCGGCGTCTCTCATAATCTAATCGTGGTTTTGAGACTTCAGACCCCCAACAATTATGAAGTCTTCGTCTCCCCTTCTCTCTCAGTTTTATGCGACACTTTACCCAGCTTAAAGCTAAAAAATACATAATTTACAAAATGAAGATTGCGGCAAATCGAGCCTGATGTCGTTAAGCATCGTTGAACCGTTCAGCTCACGTAGGGTTGATTTGTGTCCCGGGAGAAACGAAGAATTCGCCATCGCACTGTAGCTTCCTGTAACGAACCACCAGCCGAAGGGAGACGTGCCGCCTTTATTAATTGCGACAAGAATGACAACTTCGAAACCAACCACTTCGAAGCCGATGCATGCGTTCGGTGTTAACGAAACGTTTACATTAGCCGATCACCATTCCACACGGTTTCGTCTCCGCTCGAGAGATTTTTCCCTGCAGTGAGGTTCAGTGGCAAAGCCAGTCTCACATCGAGATGAGGAAAATGTGCCGGGAGACAGAAAAAAAAAAAAACCGCTGATGCCCTTTCAGTAAACACGCTGGATGTATCAAAACCTGTTGCCAGATCCGCGTCCATAGAGAAGGTATTGACGACCATTTCGTTTCGCGTCACGTATCACTTCTATTAGGTTTGTCTGAAGCTTTATTATCTGTGAGACTGTTAAGAGAAACACGTCATTAAATAAATAACGGGATAAAGAGAGGGTGTCGACGCCGGTTTCGGAGGCAGGCGAATCGTTCAAAGCAAAGACCAAGCTCTAATCTCGGCACCTTTCGATATGAGAGTCTCACTTTATTGACAGCTAATGTTCGGCTGGTTTCAGGGGGCTTATCGTCTTGAAGCAATTCCGGTCATGGGAGACGCCGTAGTGGAGGGTTTTGGGTAGTTCGGATTACCTCGGGTTCTTTGACGTGCGCTGAAATTGCGCAGTACACCGGTCTCTAGAATTTCACATCCCCTGAAATTCGAACGCCGGGTTCGAGACCACGTCCTTGGAGGCAGCCGTCGAGAACCTTAACTAATGTGTCACCGTGGTGGCTAGATAAACTTTGAAGCTAAAACGACGCGAAATAGCTTTCGTCCACAAAGCGCCACATCCCTTCTTGTCCGCAGTGGTGCGGCCTTTCAGTTGATAGTTCGTAGTTGCGTTGTCCCCTTCAATTTTTTTTATATGTTTTAACGGCCCAACATTTTCTAGTATGAAGCCCTGCCAACCAGTCACAACTTATCACTTTGACAACGAACTCATCAGCTCACAGAGCAGCGCAAGTGCTGGATGCCTTAGAGCCAGTCATTGCAAACCTTCATTGGCATCGCTGATTGCAGTCTACTTCATCTAAGACAGTAGAAGTCGAACCGTACTCCATGACAGTTCGCAGTTTGAAACCATCTGTTCCATATTCGCGGTGAGCGCTGATATGCATGTGATCATATTAGTTGTCCCTTTTCTCCTTCCTGCTTTCCCTAGTATTTTATTCTCCTTCCCTCATGTAGTGTAGAAAACCTGGTGCAACCTGATTAACTTCCCTGCCTTTTGTTTGCCTTTCTGTCTCTCTGTCGTCCAAAAGAATCATCGCATTTGTTGTCAACACTGCCTGGAAGGCTGTTTCGCCACAAAATGCCTGAAAAGTCACAGTGCCAATGGACGCCCCCTTCACGACTAGTCGGACTGTTTCCCATAAAGGCAGCCGAGTCTACCACGTATCACACGTATTTTTCGCAGCAAGCTAACCGTGACTGCCGTCAAGGGGAACTGCATACGAAACGCGCTAAACCGAAGGTCACATACGTCGCACGGATGCCAGAGGCACGCGCAGATGCACAAAGAAGAATCGAAGGAGAGGAAGAGAGAAGTGAGACGAGAATTCTCGGACTCGAAAGAAGAGTTCAAGAAACCTCACCGGAAGGAAGTCGGCCGCTTTCTCTCTGTCGTCACACCGGCAACGGAGGCAGCTACTTCAGAAGCCGGAGGGACTCGCTCGGGGAGTCACTCCGAAGACGTAGCATCCACAACGTTCAACAGTTGATCCGTCGTCACTTCCAGGTCACTCACTATGCGCACGCTTTTTCCCGATCATGTCACCGGCGAAAAACTGAAAGAACGCACACGCCACAACGGAACGAACAAAAGCCACACCGCTCGAAGGTAAATGTTGGCCAGACGAAAGAAATGGCTTTCGCCCTGCTTCACAAGCGAATCACTTTACGCTACGACAGCGTCGGCAGGTTGTTGTAGCATGCGACGCCGATGAAGCCAGCGGTCGGTGGTTGCAGACGATGACGAGGCTTCTGCTGCATGTTCCACGCACTCTTCCACACGACGCCCGCTCGGTTCGCAGGCGACGCACGCTTTGAAAACACGCACGCAAGCAGACGACGACTTCGGTAAGAGCCAGGCCCCCCCCTGTGGCCCTCCCTCTCAAGATGGCGGAGGGGGGTAAGGAGTCCTCCCGTAGCGTTGCGTAGCCTCGGCGACCGAACCCCCTCGGCAACGAAGGCGCAACCGAAACCGGAAAGCTATTCAAACCGGTTCCCCGGCAAGGTCTACGTACGCGTCGGTTGCGGGTGAGAGTTGGAGAACGCCGAAACAGCCGCTGCCCGAGCTTCGCGACTCACTCGCACCTGCGCGAGCGAGCGAGCGAGCGGTCGCGGAGGCAAGCGATCGCCCCCGCCGTTCACTTCTGTTTCGTTCGGCATCCGACCAGCCAAGAAACACACGGCTACCTTTGGGGAGTCGTCTGCTACTGTCCATCAGTAAGTAGCGCGGCAGCCATGTTGAAGAGGACTTTCGTCTCGCGTTAGATCTCGTGAAGACGAGAACGTCGGCAACAAGGCAACCGTAGTCGACGAGCACCTTCCAGAAGTCTTCGCCAGCGAACCAGAACGTTTCGGCGGAGTCGTCTCTTCGATACAACGTCAACGTAAGTTTACGGCACAGGCCGGCTTGAGCAGTTTACGTCGGAGGCGTGGTCGCGTCGCGCGTTTTCTGAGCAAGTGTGGTTGCTTGATTTGGCGGTATCCATACCTTTGTCTGAGCCTCGGCGCGCGGGTATGCAAAACTAGGATTAGCGAAGCTACATGACAGACGACAGCGGCGCAAAAACTCGTGGAATCCCTTCCGACTGCACCCCGTAGACGTCCACTTATATGCGTGGATGTTAGCAAGTATTATGTTGAAATCAGAATGTGGAGCGTCAACACACCCAGCGAACGTTTATGATTTATGGGTTTATGGCTAGATATGAATTTGAAACAGTGCGCGTGAACTTTCATTTTTCGGCCATTCCTGTGGTACTACTGACGCGAACTGTCTTGCACTTTTGTCTTCCCAAACACAAAGTAGGAAATCTGAGGATTCTTCTGGTTAAACTCCCTATCTTTTCTTTATCTTTCTCTCTCTCTCTCTCTCTTTGCCATTTTGTCACTATCGCACTAGAAACATTTTAGGGTAGTTTTTTTTTTGCTTTGAAAAGTTCGGACAATCTACAAGGCATTGTCGCACTGTGCTATCGCAATCATTGTTTCAAGCCTTGTCATCGTGCACGTAAACAGTGATTAGGATACATACTTTCTGCGGTGCTATCACATTACAAGCTCCTGCAACACCCCTCCTGTAGCGCTTACCATCCCAAGTGTAGGGTAGCCAACCAAACCAAAGCTTGGTTAACCTCCCTGCCTTTCCGCTCCATTTCTATCTCTTAATCTCTTCCGTAACTGACGGTAATGCTGTATCTTCTAACACGAGGTCTTGCGATCTTCGCTGACCTAATCTGATACCAGTGGTTTGCCAGGAAGTAAAAGGCGAGATCGTTTCTTCGAGATTAGACGAAAGTGAAACTGGGGCGAAGCCGGACGATGCACTTAACCCCTCACGGAATGTTGCATCGCTTCGATAATCACTGTGCCGACAAACGTAACTATAAGTACGTTATTTCTTAGCCAAGCCAGTGAACAACAGATCTTCAGTTGATGACTAAGGCCAATCCATATTTCACGTGGCCGACTTCACTATAAGCGACATTGCCGAACAGTTGAAAACGCATTTGCTCTTGAAATCGTAGGTATAAAATTGGAAAGAAACGTTACTGCGACTTGCCGGGTAGCAGTATCATTGATGTTTTTTTTCTAGACACTAGGTTTTTTTCTTTTAATTGCGGTGATTTTGTTATTAGATAACCTGAAACAAAGGACATGATTTCAAAGGACATGATTGTCTGCTCAATCAACTGTAAAGAACGAACTGCTATCTTGAAGTGTTGTCTAGACTGAAAGAAACATGAAAAAAAAAAGAAGAAACTGTCTACTTGCCATGGTCGCCGACACGTAGATGGCTTCCGGCTCGTCACAGCTTGCTTCCGGAAAGAAGCCGTTAGCGGAGTCTTCGGGCAAGTCACGCATTTTTCCCGCGCACTTCTCGCCAACTCAAACGTCAACTGAACACAACCACGGATGCGACGGATCAAGAACACCCCATCGCGTCGTGAGCGAACACTTCAACTCCGTCTCTCGGTGAATGTCTTCAGAACTACGAGTGCTTGCAGTCCGACACAAACCGCTTAATCCACACAACATTCGCGAAGCCGAACAATCTCACAGGGCAGCATCCAACACCACTAGTGCACTAGCATTGACTTAAGGTTAAGCAACAAAGAATGCGGCAATTAGTTTTTCGTAGCTAAACTCATTCTCCAAATCAGAGCACTCATTCCCACAAGTGACGTCAGCAGCACGTCACTCACAAACCACGACGTCCTATTGGCTACAACTCGGTGTGACAGACGACACGCACAGGTTGCGGCATCAAAGCTGAAGAAGTCTCGGCACAAGGAACAGCAGCTTCACGGACGACGAAACAGAAGTCACCTAGACCTAAGCGGTGACGTCACGCTTGGAATGGCTAAAGATTGGACGGCTTTGAGAGTTTTGGGGAGAGGACGAGGTGAACTGTCTTAGGTCGGAAGCTGGAACGTCTTCATTCTGCGGAAGAAGACACTTTTCTCACCTTTGCCACCAGGAGCACCGACGAGGAAAGGTGTACGACGACACCGTATCGGGTTCGCGAAAGAGCACTTTTCCTTCGCTCTAAAAACGGCAGAAACAGCGGCTGTTGATCCATTTATAGCGCTAAAACTCGAATGCCACCGCATCGCGCTTGAAATCGGTGTTAGAAAGACATCCCCCGTAGCTATTTCGCCACTTTCCCCATATTTTCAAAAGTTTCGTTTCGTTTATATAAGTGATGAGCCTGTATTCAGACATCCCTATACAGACGTGACATCTTGCGAACTTCACGACCTGCTGCGAGGCCTTTTAACCGCGTCTCATCAATTCACGCGGCCGCCCCTCTCTCTGTACAGTTTTGAATTCGTATACACGTAGAAGCAGCCTGCTGAGGGGCACGTCCCTATAAGCACACTGTGTTTGCTAGTGTGGGCTGGCCGTAGATAAAACCTCCACATCCGACCATGCGCGAACTAAAGTTCACTCGCTACCATTTCGCAAGATGCAGAAGGAATAAATAAACAAACTTTCCTGCTTCCTATAGCCCGCAGTGAGGGGATTCATCCGAATCGTCGTCGGCGGCAGGCTCGAAATTCGGATGCCGCTCACGTAGCTACTTCGGTTTTCAACTGCAGCGTCATGGTTCGTGAAATAGGATGCTAATAAGAATTCATATTCATCGCCACGTACGTGTGTGCCGCATTTCGAGCGTAGGCGCGTACGTTTGGGTATCGGGAACACCTCGTGAAGCGTGGTGGGACGTGTAGTGTGAGAGAAGATGTTCACGAACTTCAGCCTATACAATAGAGGGATATATGTGTACCTTGGTGAGCAAGGGAAAAAAACCCAACAACAACAACAACAAAAAAACGTGTGCGGGGTTCTGCGTTCGCCTTTGACTCGGCACTATACATAGCCATATGTTCTCTTCACCAGAGTGACCTCAAAGTGCTGAAACCATTGGCGGTGTAAGGTAACGCTTCTTAACGCCCCCCTCCCCCGAAAATTTTCCGTTTATGTATAAGCATACACTCAGAAATACTAACGAACGCACGAACGTACTCGAAGTATAATTGAGCCCGCCCCCCTCCCACTTTTTGGTGCGCCCCTGATTGAAAGCGTGACTCATGGCGGCGTCAACCACAAGTAGCAAGTGCACTGGATGTTTCCGGCTGCCGTGACGAAAGGCATAAAGTAAGGCGAAAGAAATATGAAACTATGACCCAAGCTCACAGCACCAGCAACGTGGCCTTGTCAGCAGATATCTACCATGTCAACATCATCGCTGCAAGATGGAATAATTGAGTACTAGTTCAGTTAGGTTGGTAACAATACGCTGCTAGATCACGGGAATCTTAAGGTTTCACCCCACGTATCCGTTGCAGCTCGTCGGCCCATGTCTTTTTAGAGTGGGCGCGTCGCTACGCGAAGATGTGCCCTCTTTCTCTCTCCATATGACAGAGGGCGCTGCGCCGCGTCAAAAAGACACCCGCCGATGAGCTGCAACGGAAACGCGGGGTGAGGCCTTTAAGCTTAACTACCCCCCCATTTGTCACAAGCGTGAAGCGTGGCTAGAGCTTAAGCCCGACTCACTGGTAGCCGGCTACCTCTGCGTTACGCTACAGTACGCATCTGTAGTTACCTGTGGATTTGCTGCTGGTCAGTGCTCACGGGCCGGAGTGCCGCACCAGTTGCCACAATTAAGATCGCCCGCCATGGATCGCCCGCCAACAGTTGTGGGCGTAAATCATAGCATACGGAACGTTCCTGAGCTCCTCCCTCCTGCTTCCACTTTCAAAAGATTAAGCTGCCTAAGTAATAAGTGACAGAGCTGAGAAGAGTGATGTTACATGAACTTGGAAGTTACTGGGATATGCCGTATTGAAGCTAATAACTGCTCCAAAAAAAAGAAAAAAACGCCACATCGTCAATGTTTACCGTCATATAAAGGAGACAGAAAGAGAGAGTGCTAAAATAGGCAGGGTGGGAAATCAATAAAAACGATCAAGTATGTTCACATGCAAAAAGAGAGAGCAGTATAATGGAAAATAACAGAGCTAGAACGGAGAAAATTCCAAAATTTCCTGACGGTGTCACCACGATACTTCGCAACAACCGACTGTCACTGCGCAACAGGCGCGCAGCGAGAAATTTCTTTTCGGGGAGAGGGGGGGGGGGGGGGGGGGTACCACTTTGATTTAGAGAGGAGCACCCTAAAATAGACGGGTGTCGATGGTGTAGTGGTTAGAGCATCCGCCTCGCATGCAAAAGGTCCGTGGTTCAAATCCCGGTGCCGCGCAGCTCCCAACCGGATAAAAAAAATCCGCGTGGTGATGGAACTGCATTAAAAACCTGGGGTGCGGCCTCACCGGCAACCACCGCCGGAAACGCACTCCCTCACCAGAGAAGGATAAGCCACCCTGGTGCAGTATTTAGCCACTACCTCCCACATGCATACGTCAAATACCTCACGGCCCTCAGTCCCCAGCAGCTGCGAAGCAAGTGACCACGGCGGCGGTCAGATCTGCAACGCAGCAGAGGGTGCTAAGAATGTCTGGATCCGGACAGGCCGCCATTGGAACCTGAACTTGGCAACGTTTAACGCTAGAACCTTATCTAGTAAGGGAAGTCTAGCTGCACTATTAGAGGAGCTAGAGGGTGTTAAATGGGATATAATAGGGCTCAGTGAGGTTAGGAGGACAGATGAGGCCTATACTGTGCTACAGAATGGGCACGTCCTTTGCTATTGGGGCTTGGCAGGCAGAAGAGAATTGGGAGTGGGGCTCCTAATTCACAGAAACATAGCTGGCAACATAGAGGAATACTATAGCATTATAGAAAGGGTGGTAGCTATCGTAATTAAATTGAATGAAAGATACAAGGTGAAGGTGGTACAGACTTACGCGCCTACATCCAGCCA